CACCCACATGACCGAAGTTTGATTCCCCTAGAAGGGACTTTTATTTATTGTTGTTTTAATCGAGCACCACGGTCTTTCTGCTGATATGTATTCCTCTTTAGTACGGTTGACCCTAACAGACAGGGTCGGAGGACCGCCTCCTTAATTATCTGTGTGTATGTGTGTGTGGTGAAACACCAAACAAATGTACCGCCTCATTTGCTATGCCCTTGAGTATCTTCAGCACGCGATAGCTTAACTGTGCACGTCCACTTTTTAGCCCTACGAGCCGCCCCTGATCTCCACATAAAACAGCAGCTCCTGTGACACTTCCTGTCTCCATCCCGCCTCTGTGGTACCCAGTTAAGGACAAATCGGCGGCCGTCGGAGTGGGCGGCTGGCAGGCGGCGCTGGTTCTACTGCCGGTATTGGGACCAATTATGAGACGATGACGGACATGGGCTACGTCATGCAGCGGGCAACCAATCCGCCGGGGACCCTCGAAAGTCGCAGTCGCCCCTTGGGAAGAGCGGTCTTGTTTGATCTTAGATTACGCTTCCTCGCACCAAGGTAAACACACCGCTACACAACCAGATTACGACAGAGGTACACAGCCAGTACTCACCATTCCATAACAGACTTCTTACTTCTTCTGCCAAGGTTTGTATATATATATATATTCCTTTGGGTGCACGCTAAAAACGCACAGGGGTGCAGGGTAACTACTACGAAAGAAGAGAAGAAAAAAAAGGGGGGAGCGAAAAATTATACGAAAAGCTTTGCTTAGCACTCCTGTTCGGTGAAGGCTGTGGCAAGTCAAAGGAGAAGGAGGGAATTGCGAAAACCCTTGCTTAGCACTCCGTCCTCCTGTCTTCCTTCTAGTTGAGGACAAGACGGCGGTGACACAAAGTGGAGAGTTGAGAGAGAGGGCCTGAGAGGGGGGAGACGAAGAAGCAACAAGGTAGGCAGTGAACATTGAGCGAAGTAGTAGAGCTTGCCTTTAGCGGCACCCAGCGGTGCGCACCGAACCAGCACTCCCGCGGAAAGGTGCGACACGACATACTTTGTCGGCCCGCCCGCCCGTCCCTCTGTCCCTTCGGCCGCCCACGCTAACCAGGGGGCGGTGGCGGGGCTTGCCAAGCCCCCTAACTTTACTACAGGGACTAAGGTATTAGTGGAGACAGTCGTAGAGCTGGGGACACAGACTGACGGCGCAATCACATGTAGTTTTTTTTCTCCGGATTTTTTTTTTTT